TTCGAAATCGGAAAACTAGATAAATTCTAACCAACAAAATGATTGTCGTCAATGCTAACCATACTGTTAAATGAATGATTACTCTCGTTAGATCTTGCAAACTTCTCATAGATTGTTAGGATATTCTTCAACCATCCAAAAGAAATTATTTTGTGAGTCTGATTCTATTGGTCGATATTTAAGGTCGTCCTAAACTATCTAGTTCACATAATTTTATATGTCCTCTCCTATTGGTTAGTATTCAAGGTCGACCTAACTGTATAAATATGCATCGTCTATAAAGTTCTAGGCTCCTCTTTCTTCATCTTCTTCTGTACAAAACCTCATATTTTCTGGGTGTTCGTAGTAGAATACACTTTCTACGCCATAGCAAGACTTCTTATTCTACTTATTGAGGCTTTGGGACGCTCAAATTAGAGTAGCCTATCATATCAATGGATCATCTGTCTTTGTTCTCGTCTATCGAGTAAGCTTGTAAAAAAGGAGAACATAGGTGAGGACAACCGAATTGTAAAATAGGAAAACCATATTGTAAACGGTAATTTGCAAATCTTCAATCCATCATCAATCCATTGTCTGACATTTCACTCACTATTCATGCGTTTCATACAAATTCCATTGTGTTCCCACTCTTCCTTTCTCTTGATCTTCGCCCATCTTCTGCTGCCAGACATTACGTTTTTTTACTCGCGTCATATACTACTTATAAGTAGCGCGCACCACAAGGTGAACTCGTAATAGCATTCAAGTATATCATCAATTGACAAGCACAACATAGCTAGGAACAAAGCCAGTTTACAATGACAACCACAAGAAAATTTACTTACTTGTTAAAGAATTGTTATATGCACACGAACTCAATGGATCATCATATAACTGTTTGGAATCATTACTATGATTATTATTACTATTGTTATTATTATTGATTGATGACAGTGACAATAATGAACATGAAGATGGAATTTCTTCGGCTTCTAATAAATTAGTCACATCTTTATCATTATGACGAAAATATTGACGTAGACCAGTGTTAGTGACACGTTTCATTGTTGGAATGATAATGGATTTTTTTGGAATAATAACTGAATGATTATGATGATTATTCATATGATTGTAATTGTGATTATGATTATGATTACTAATAATACTACTATCATGATTTATTTGAGTAGTTTTTAGCGGTTTACTAAATAATTTTGATTGTAGATAATTAATTTTAAATTGATTTGAATGAGTATTGGATTCATGCAGTGATGATGGTGGTGTACAATGAGTAGCGTTAGTAGTAGTAGTAGTAGATGTTGGTGGCCATAAAACAGTTCGACTATCATTGAATATTGAAGAAATTCTATCAATATTATTTATACTACTATTATTATTGTGAGTAGTATTATTACTATTATTGACAAATCCAGTGAAATGATTTCTTTTCAATGGGATAACAAACCAATCATGTATATGATTAAAAGCATTATTAGTCATACTTTTAAAATGTCTTGTATCAAAATGATAATTTGTTGTTTGTGTCAATAATCGATGATGATGAGTTTTATTCCATAAAATAAATAATAAGACTATGACACCGATTGTAAGTAGTATAATCGATATAACTATTGACATTGGATTGTGAGTAATGAACTGAAATTCAGAGTGTAAGAGTCATTACGATTAAAATGAAAGGGAAAAATAACATAAAATGTTTTGTTTGGTTAAGTAAACAAAATATTATTATTCAAGTACACATTTTATGTACTTGTGTTGTAGTGAAGGAGAACACAGGTGAGGGCAACCGAAGTTACTCAGTAAAATAGGAAAACCATATCGTAAATTGTGCATTTGCAAAATATCAGTCCATCATATCGAACTGGACTGTTCCTGTTGCAAACACAACATCAATCCATTGTCACTAGTCATGCGTTTCATACACAAATTCCATTGTGTTCTTCTAACTCTTCCTTTCTTGATCTCTCCCCCATCTTCTGCAGCCAGACATTACGTTGACACTCACGTCATATACTACTTATAAGTAGCTCGCACCACAGTGTGAGTGTTGTCATCAAAGTTCACTATTTGTAAGCGTTTACCATTTAAGTGGGGTGATTGATTTTTTTGGTAGTGGCTGCATTGAATTCTAAGTGTAGGGCTCACCACTTTTGGTGGTGTGCCAACAGCTATGAAATAAATCATCTCAGTTGACGTTATACCATACTCAGGTGAATCCCGTTTGTGAGATGACGGTAATAAGCGGCTATATACGAATTCGATTGGATGAACTTATTGCATGTAATTGTTAACTCAGGCAGACATGAGAATATAGAGCGCAGAAGCAAAGTAAAGCAAAGCGAAGTGAAGTGGAGAAAGCGAGTGAGCCAAATTAATGTGATGAGAAATAGTTAGTAATATTCAGGCGAAAACAAACTAAGGCGGCACACACACACTCCAATATAAATGTGGATTGTAAAAGAAAAATTAACAAGGTCAAAAGACGAGTGAATAGTTATTCGAACAGAGTAGATGAATGAGTTAAACGGAAAGCTAGGTCAAGCCCTTTAGAGGCTCAACATACACACATTACAATCTCTTGTCAAAGACGAAACTATTTATAATCGCTAATAGGCACTGGATACTGGATCACTAGCATATTTATTAAATCATTTGAATGCTGATTGAATATTGACCAGACCAAAACAGGGCAGCAATCCATGAAGTCACTGACAAGTGGACTTAGCCATGTCGGTAATTGTCGACTACCTGGTTGGGGTCCGCGAGATGATAATAATCTATGGCTAGAGACCTTGAATGACATGGCTCAAAATCGTTCGCAATGGCGCCAGTGCATTTATTCTTTGTGTTCTCTAAAATCCTAATCTTCTGAATTCTTGAACATCTCTACTTTTGTCTTTCTAAACTTTTCTCACTGAATCATACTTCTTGATTCATATCTTCTAATCCTAACCTCTTCGATTACTTCTGATACCTTTACTACCTCTTCTACTATTGGATTTGAATTGACAATTACATCTCTGTGCTGATGTGGTATGGCAACATGAACTGATGTACTTACGTACGATGTTCTACGTTGCATCTGACTGACTGACTGACTGACTGATTGAATATTATCGATCAGATTTTAATGTGATAATTAGTTTCAGTGATGGCACATCGTATGAGTTAACTTTCAGGTTAAGTGGTTGAGGATGTAGTGGGCCGAAAATTTTCGGTCTAGACATAGTTGCTAGCTAAAACTTATCAATAATGTGAACCCAAAATCATTATAAATAAATCAAGATATTTTAAATATGTTGTAATACAACTGACTGCTTAAATAAACTTGTAGTGTAAGTACTGTAAAAAGAAGAGAAATTTTTATGGGAGGATTAAATTATGCCAACCTAATCATACGTCTATGCTTGTGGTGGTGTTGGTGGTGTTTGGTTCTCTGAGCTCTGGATATTTTGGTTGTGAAGCTTTCATTGTTCTTCTTCTGAACACAAAATCATCAGCACAAACTTCAGATAGCAGAAGTGAAACATTCGAATTTCTCCACGTTCCATTCTATGATACTGTTAAGGTGTGTTTATACAGTAAATTATCAACTGATTGATATTATGTTCATAATTTAAATCACAAACTGATCTAAACTAGACCATCATCATTATCAACTTGAAAGTACTGGACTGCCGTATCGTCCAAATGTGGGACTCCACAGCAGTGTGTATCCACGACCCTCGCATGCAGGAATTGAAGTTAAGACCTTTTATCGCGTGCTTGAAAGCTTCACGTCTAGATTGTTAGGTCAGCATTGTACGATCCTGCTGTCTAACTTCTTCAACCAATCCATGATGTTGTGCAATTTCTATTTATTGACTGGAGTGTTGTTGTTCTAGTTAGAATTCGTGAACAGGTTGATTTCAACCGGTCGCGGTTAGGAGACAATTATCGATCGAAGGTTGTATATAAAGAGGTTGAACAACATCATGTGAATTGATTTATATTAGACAGTAACACTAATGGATGCTGATTCAGCTGGTTTAGAAATGAAGAGTCCAATGATTCAAAGTTTCTCAGTTATGGTCTAACTATAATCAGTCAGTCAGTCAGATGCAACGTAGAACTTCGTACGTAAGTACATCAGTTCATGTCGCCATACCACATCAGCACAGAGATGTAATTGTCAATTCAAATCCAATAGTAGAAGAGGTAGTAAAGGTATCAGAAGTAATCGGAGAGGTTAGGATGAGAAGATATTATTCAAGAAGTATGATTCAGTGGGAAAAGTTTACAAAGTTGAAGAATCCAGAAGATTAGGAATTGAGAGAACACAAAGAATAAAAGCACCGGCGCCATTGCGAATGATTTTGAGCCATGTCATTCAAGGTCTCTAACCATCGATTAATATCATCTTGCAGACCCCAACCAGATAGTCGACAATTACCGACATGGCTAAGTCCACTCGTCAATGATTTCATGGATTTCTGTCATGTTTTGGTTTGGCCGCCCCTAACTTTCTTCCAACCTATTCCTACACTACAAAACAAAGCTCGACGAGGCAGTCGGTGGTTAGGCATACGCAACACATGTCCCAACCACCTCAACTGATGAAGTTTCACTACTTCATCTATTGATCTGCCATTCTTACCTAGCAACCGATTCCTAATAACAGCGTTGCTTACTCGGGTGTCCCAGGATATCCGAGCAATGCTTCGAAGACACCTATGATCGAAAACCAATAACCGAAGAATATCTTCTACTGTCATGGCCATGTTTCACAGCCATAAAGTAAGACGGAGCGAACCACTGCACAGTACACTCGTCCTTTGGTTAGCGAACGGTATTTCTCGCCTACGCCATAAGTGACGCAAGTTGGCAAAAGCCAATCGAGCCTTCTGTATCCGTGCTGAGATTTCGTCAGTCACCAGGCCATCAACACTGATGAGACTCCGCAGATAAGTGAAGCGGTCTACACGTAAAACTACTTCACTCCCTATCACAACTATAATCAAATCATGTGATTTCAGTCAGATTTAACAATCACCACAATCGCATACTGATCATTAAGCTATGATAATGAAAATATTCATTTCCCTTTAAATGAATCAATAAGAAAGCTGACAAGATATAACTCACATAATTAGCACCGTCATTGTCAGCATCAGTAACACCATCCTCATCAGTAGTATCGTATGGACATGATTTGATCAAGTCTAAAATGGTTTGATTCCATATTGGAGGTTGCCAACCACCAATACAACGATCACCTGGTATTAAACGATAACCTAATTGATGAATAGTTTGACGTTGTTTCCTCGGTAATGTACAAGGATCCAATGGTGGAATATATGGATTTCGTATACAATTCAATGATCCTGGTTGACGATAAAATCCATATTCACTAGAAAATAAAATGAAATAGATCATTGTTGAGAGTGAAAGAATTAATTTTAACGGAAAAAAGGGTTCTGGGTTCGAATCGAGTGAGGTGCAAGAGTTGTGAATGCGCATTGCTGATGGGTCAGACAACAGGAGGACACGGCCGTCTTCCAGTGCTTCCAAGTTTCTAATGGTGGTCTAACACAATGATCGATGCATGACCTCAATGAAACTCAACAATCGCCATAATTAGAAATATGAAGATGTGCTTACTAGTGTGACTAGAATTGGGAGGAAATTTTCAGTAATCTAGTGAGAAGTGTTACGCCTAAACGTGAACACATCAACTTGATATACTTGAACTATTGAGAGTTTACCTAGTCGGAAAACGAGAGCGAGGATCCGGTGACACAACGTACTACTCAAATCCGATTATCCCAACCCCACATATAGAGTAAAAGAAGACAAGACTTGATATAAAGTAGGACCTGTATTCTACAAGCATCCAGAAAGTATGAGGTCCGAATCCAGAAGAGAATCAGGATCCCGGACTAGGGATCTGGGACGGGGTCCTGGTCTTGGTCATAAAACGTTACAGATAATGCGTATTTATACATTTTGGTCGAATAGGAAACAGCATCGAATCCTTGGACATCGACAGTTAAGACGACCAATAGGAAACAACATTGAAATGACATTGATAGTCAGGACAAAGAATAAGAAACAACATTGGAGCACGAGACATTGATATCTAGGACGATCATAAAATTAACCAATAGGAATTGACCAATAATTCTCTTAGGATATTGGATGAATATCCTAACAAGAAGCCGTGACTAGTGGAGTTCAACTGTATTGGGTGTGAGCCGATTATCCATTGACGACAATGTTTGAGTTTGAGCGATACCATTAGGCTCATCATTAAAGTTAGACTTTCACATTGTTGGGTTCTGACTCAATGGTCTAGAGGTTGGGAGTTTGCTTACTACACCGAAAGTCCTGGGTTCGAATCCTGTGAGTAGCAGCAGTTGTGGATGTGCATTGCTGATAAGTCCCATACTAGGACGAAACAGCTTTCCAGTGGTTTTACAGGTTTCTAATGCTAATCTAACAATGATCAATTTTATAATTTCATTGAAACTCAACAATCTCCATAACTCAATAACGAAAACTTAAAAAAAATCATTGAAAATACTTTTACTGATACTTGTATTAGGCATTGTAAATATTGATGCAAAATAACAACTGAAAAAACAGAAACTACTTCAGAGCACAATCATAAAAAATAGTCGATAAATTATTTTTGAATGCATATTGATAAAGATTTATGATTATAAATTGCTTGTTGTTCGTTCGAATTTTTAGCTGCTTATGTAATATGTATCTGCCTGGTTGACTCCAGACATCTTCTTTTGATTATCTAGGCTGAGGCTTAGTGAAATAGTCTCGCTTGTTTCATTATTGTACCGCCAGTTAAATGTTTCATTTGCTGATACTAATTTGTATTTTCAGTACTGTAAGCTTGGCAGCAGTGAATTCTTTGAAAGTTAAATCATTAGTAATATTGTGTCATTGTTCTGGGGATGTTAGATAGCCACAACTCGCTTGATAAATGCGTTAATTTTGGATTTTATGTTTCCAAGCGTGAGCTGATCAGTTAACCTTGCGATCACATTTCCAACCAGGAAAATCCTTGGCTGTGATTGGTTATTGTGTTATTTTAGTGTTCAAGTTTTGTGACTCTCCCAAGGACGTCTCTACGGAGTATAAATAAATGCTTGATTGCATTGTGTTTGCTAGGTGTTTGTGGAATATACTTTCTATGCCATATCATGACTTCTAGTTAGCTGTTTTTCGGACAACAGATCAAGGTAGCCTACCTGGACGCTGATTAATTGTCTCATTCTCATTTATCGACTAAGGTGAGCGAACCCTGTCAGGGATGTTATATCCCCAGAACTCGTCTGATAAATATCTTTATTTTCGATTTATTTCATGAAACGATCAGTTCACCTTGAGATCACAGTTCCCACCAGGAAAATCCTTGGCTGTGATTGGTTACTGTGTCATTTTAGTGTTCTACTTTTTGTGATTGCCCCAAGGACATCTCTATAGAGTATAAATAAACGAGAGTTGTGTTTGCTTGATTGTATTGTGTGATTGCTGGGTGTTTGTAGTATACACTTTCTACGCTATATCAAGACTTCTTACTGATTCAATTTGGTCAAGCGATCACAGCCTACCTGGACGCTGGTTCATTGTTTTATTCTCGTTATTCGTCTAAGGTGAACTCGTAATAGTTTCAAGCATATCTAGAATCGAGCATAACAAACCCGTAATAGTTTCAAGCAAACATAAACTCAAAGCATCACTTTTTAACAAAACAAAGGAAAACATATTTACCATTCATAATCTGCTTGTGTACATGGACAAAATTCTATTTGTACACGTGTTTCCATTTCATATTCATTTGTACAACTAAAATTCAAATGATCATGATAAATAATAAAAGTGAAAAGAAAAAACAGAATATTTTCAATGAGAAAAGAATAATATTACTTATTTACTGACTTACTTACTTACTTACGCCTGTTACCCCCAGAGGAGCATAGGCCACACACCAGTTTTCTCCAATTGAATAATGAAGAACACATTCATAAGATAAAGTTTTATTTATTTGTACAGGTTTGTATTTTCTGTTTGTGGATGTTAAGGATTGTAAATGGTCAGTGTTTATTGAAATAATTGAACTGTATGCGGATTAACTCGAGCACCCATTTGGTCTCTTGTACTGTTGCGGGTACACTTTGCTAATCAAAGGAGGAGTGTACTGCACTGCAGTTCACTTCGAACTTCTATACGGGTGTAAAATACAGTCAGAGGATATTCAAAGGTTTCAGGTTTTCGAATCATTGCTCCTGTATCCTGGGACCGCCGAGTAAGCAGTGTTGTTGTTAGGAAACGATTACTAAGTAAGGATTGCAGATTAATTGATGAAGTAATGAAACTTCATCAGTTGAGGCGGTTGGGATATGTGCTACGAATTCTCAACCACCGACTGATTCAACGAGCTATGTTTTGTGGTGTAGGAGAAGGTTCGAAGAAAGCTAGGGTAGGCCAAATCAAAACATTTCACAAATCCATGAAGTCATCAAAAAGTAGACTGAGTCAAATTGGTAAATGTAGACTACGTGGTTGAGATCCTCCAGATGATAGTAACAGATGGTTAGAGACTTCATATGACATGGCTCAAAATCATTTTTTATGGTGTAGATGCAATCACTCCTTATCTTCTCTTATATTCTATTCCCCCAAATTCCTCATCACCTTTATCTTTCTCTTCTCAAATTTATTTCACTGGATTAAACTCCTTGAATAATATCCTTAATCCCTAATGTTCTTCATTACGGCTAATACTTCTACTATGTCTACTCTTATGGGGTTTGAATTGAGGATTTGATCTCCTTGTACTAATGTGGAATGTCATCTAGAACTGATGTACGTACTTACGTACGTACGTAGGAATTCCTACTTTGCATCTGAGAGACTGACTTACTTACTTCAATATTTTCATTAGGTTACCGGTTTTTACTAAAGTTATACAGAGTTTCCTCCGATTAAGAACTTGTCGTCAGAACGTATCTGCATCCCAGTGTTGATACTGATATTAATGCCCGAACCTAATGTTTACCGCTTCAAGCATAAAAGGTCCATCTACTTAGCTGTCTTGTTTAGATAGCCATTAACTTGTGTAACAAATAGCAATTTCTTTTATTCGTAATAGTTTTCACTTTCCTGATATTCATATGTTAATGGCTGTGTCTGTCAGCATATGTGCATCCTGAGCTGATTCCCTTCATGTTATTACGTAATTCATAAGTTTTCTTTGTATCAACATTAACATTTTGATGCAGATACATTCAGTTACTTACTTACTTACTTACGCCTGTTACCGCTAATGGAGAGTAGGCTGCCCACCAGTTTTCTCCAACCTTCGGGTCTACTGCCGGTCCCAAGCCCGGGTAAAGGAGGAGGGTTATGGATTTGAATGAACAGTGTACGTTGAGGTCTCCATTGCTGTTCTCATTACAAACATTGTTAAAATATTTTCAATTAGAGTTATGGAGATCAGTGTTTTTACACATTTAAAATTATCAATCAATCATTGTTAGACCATCATCAATATGTGCTCACTAGTGAATAGCTTCGTGAAGAAATTCTCGGAGTTCTAGTGACCAGTGGAATTCAACCCTGTAGGGTGTAGGGCAGTAACTACCCTAAATCAATCAGAGTTAGACGTTAAAACCACTGGATGTCGGACCAGTGGTCCAGAGGTTAGACGTTCGCGCGCAAGATCGAAGGTCCTGGGATCGAATCCAGCGAGTAGCGAGAGTTGTGGTGCTCACTGCTGATGAGTCCCAAACC